ATCCGATCTTAATGAAATTTTCTACAGTCGTATTGTGCCATAGAATATTTGTGTATTCAGGAAAAGTCAATTAACGCACAGTTTGAAACACGTATCAGATAAATTTTCACAAAGATTTCTGAAAATGCATTTCAAGGCAAACAGAAACTGCGCCCTTGAATTTGATCCGCGATAAATCATCCAAGAAGAATTTTAACAAAGATCTTTGAAAATGATTTTGAAGCCGATCGGATGGTAATCAAAAAGTTTCATACAAACATTTTTCGCAATTTTTCCATACTTGCGGGCGGAATTTCCCAAAACCTCGTCTTAGCGTGCACCTTCACCACAAAAGGTAACTACAGTGAAAATTTCTGCTTTGTAGCTCCTACGGTTTGGGCTGTGCGTTGATCACCAATCAGTCAGTCAGACAGTCAGTCATTCATTCAGTCAATCAGTCAGTCAAGACAAACAGTTTTATATATGGAGATGTGAAGTATTTGTCAATAGCAATAGCTAAAGCTTGTTGACAGCAAATATATGACAGATCTGCATCTACTTATCTTGTTTTTAGTTAATTTTTAAGGTATCAGCGGACTAGTGTGATTTCCTCATTAAACACGCCCACTGCCCACTCGAGTGCAAACGCCCTCGTTTGGCAATGGAGGAAGTGAAATTTGGCGCTACTCTTACTAGAAATTGTTCGACTAGCTATTGTTACATTTTTGGGCATTTTGAAACAACAAAACTAAATGGAAATTGTAAATAATTGTTAATGTTTTTGCAAATTGTGCTTTGTTTTCTTTGTAGTTGACTCTTAATTAATCATTTGTCAGTTCCCGCAGCGCTTCTAAGTTAGAAAAGATTTTCTGTATATGCGCTCGGCACTCGGAATCTTTTCACAGATTTATTTATTTATTTTTATTGCACACGTTTAAAGGTCAACCACTTGACGACGATGTTCGCTACATATTTGTTTGCTTTCTGTTGTGATTTCTATAAAGGCTTCATATGGTCTTAAGTAGTATATAAAAAATTAGAAATATACGCGAAACAAATAATAACAAACGAATTTGACGCTACTTTTGAGCTGCCTTTTAGGAGCACCTGTTAATTGAATATGCCAGCTTTCATTTTGCCTTAGTTGTCACCTTAAAATATGTTTTATGGCATCTTTTTAAATTAGTTGCAATATTATAGCAAATATTGACAGCTCGCTTATAAACAAATCAGAAGTCCTCAAACGTAGAGAGTAGGTGCTGAGAAAACTTCTTGAAAAGCTGTTATTGCTCTAAAATTTCTCTTAAAGCTCCTCATTAACTTAAAAGCTTATCAGTTATGCTTGCGAAAGATTAATTCAAAAAGTCTGGGGCATGTTGAAAGCTCAGTAATTAAGAAAGCTTCTTGAAAAGCTGAAGTAAAAAATTCTTAAAGTACAAAATCGTTATTCTTATAACATTTTACTTAAAGTTTCCTATTGAATTAAATACCTTAAAAATTGATAAATAAACCGACTTAAATAATCAAACAGCCTCTCAATAATCATGGCTTATCCCTTCTCATATTTCACTATATTTCTAAATAAAAAGTAGCTTTAATGATTTGTGTAAGCTAAAAATACATAAATACAGAACATAACAACGTATTTAAATCAGTCTTCACTTATAAATTTTAAACTAGTTTATCATTTTCCTTAAAGCTTCTCATTGACTGAAAGCTCATTAAATTACCATCTAATTGGCTTATAAGTTCGCTTTTGAGTGTTAAGGAATCAAAATTTCAGAGACTCATTAGGATTTGATTAGCTTCAATTTGTTTATGATCTTTTCAAGAATCCAGCTCTAAACTCGTTGGCATTTTAACTCAAATTACACAAACTTACTTGTACTTCATTTGAATAGCTTAGTCGTCAAATAAGCTTTCAACATTCTCCTGCTGTAAACTTTACCAACATTCTGACAGCTTTCACAGTTGTCTAATTAGCTTTAATGAATTCAGCAATTTGTTTGTTTCTCGATTGTTGTTGGTATTGTTTTACTTATTTTCTTTATATTTTCTCCCCATATTTCTTGTTTTTTTTCGTACATTTTTCGCCAAGAACATTGCACAAATATTGACAAGAATAATATAAACTAAAGGCTGTCGCTCGCTGGGCAAACACAAATACAACCAGCTACAAAATACCTATTTCTCACATAGATTGACAGCCTTATGAAAAAAAAAAAAATTAAATAAAATACAAAGCACAAATACAAAACCGACAAAAGTAAAAATAGTAATAAATAACATCAAATGGACAAATAATGTAAAGTCCAAAAAAAGATTTTCTGTTATTTTATTTATTAAACGTGTTTGTGCCCCAAATGCAACCATTTTATTAAGTCGAATTTTTGCCACATTTTGCAATATTGTTGTTGAATTTAATGAAAAACGTGCCGCTTTTTTTATGGAATCGTTAATCGCTGGCAGCTAGGTTAAATATAAATTGTTTAAATGTTTAACAATAGTTATAAGTTAATATTTCTGTATTTTCTAATCTTGATCCTTTCGAATTGCTTAACAATTGAAAGAAGTTAAAAAGGGTGTCTCCGACTCCATAATTGGTTCATTATTGGTCGGTATCAATAGCCGATCTCATAAGCTAGAGACTCGAAATTCTAACAAATGTTTTGCCGATTATCTGTAAAATCCTATTTTTGAGCAAATCTCTTGGGTTTTTTCAGCTAGAGTTACCAACTTTGAGATGTAGCTTCTAGAAAAGTATATACAAATCAAGTATGTATCTTTAATATTATGGCTGCCGCCATACACCCCCCCCCCCCCCCTCGCAGTAAGCTATATATCAAGTCAAATAAGTAATATTGGAACCACCCAGCAATTTGCCAAAATTTTAATACTGTTGTCTTTTTGGAGACTATACGAATATTCTAAAGCACAATAAGATCTACTGCAGAAAATGTCATCAAGATCGGCTTAGAAACACAGAAGTGTGTATACATGTGTATAGAATATATTGCAATTGCGGGTATATTGAATGATGTGTGATGTGTCGCTATTTTAGTTTAGTTTTGTTTTTGGTATGGCTGGAGTATGGAAATGGTGGCAAATAGTTCGGTCGATTGAAGGCAGCTACGAATTCGACTCCGGCATAATGAACTGCATTATATTTTTTAAAATGTACTTTTCTTAATGCTAAAGCGAAAGAGCGCGTAGTCCGAGCTGCATTTGGTGTTGGTAGAAGAAGGCTTAGGGTATCCCATAGTCGGGCTCTCCCGAGTGCACCACTCTTGTTGAACTTACTTATTTTTGCCAAAATTTTATCTTAAAATAGCAGCAAATTTTAACAAAAATGACATAATTTATAAAGATAAGTTATAAAGACAAGTTATTGCTTGTTAATATCTGCACTGCCTAAGCCCCACTTTAATATTGAACCTCTCTTCTATCTTTAGCTTCTTATTGGTGCTCTTGAATCAACTGTATTTGAGCGCAAAACTCTACTCTTGCTCTCTTTCTTATCACTTTTTGTTTTGCCAGACTCTTTCGCTTGGGCAGTCATATATTTCCCTCACATGTAGCTCGGTCTACCTTCAAACTCTCTCCCTCTCTCTCGCACTATTGTCCAACTTGCAGCTCTCAACCGTATTGCATGTACTCTTTTTGTGTCTTTTATTGTGCCAGTTCGTGTCCGTTTTACCTTTCAATCAATTTTGCTTGCTCGTTTTGTTTTTCAATTATGCGACACGCCAAAGGCAATCAGTCAGCGGTGCCACGCCTCCTTAAGCATGCGGCCGCCCAGTGCTCAATAAACTGTTGATGCGTCACAAGCCGCTGCTTCTTCTTCGGTTTCTGTTTGTTCTTGTTTTCTTAATTAAAAGCTTGCGAGAGGGTCAAGGATTAATTCGTGCGCCGCTGTGACCCAAAGAGTGCAGCAGAGTGTGTGTGTGTGTGTGTGTATTAACATATATATAAATGTAAGCATGTATTTATTTAACATGTGCCGCCCTCTGTTGCGCTATTCGAACATTTCTGTAAATCAGTCGCCCCCAAACAAAGACGATGACATTTTCATGGTCAGGAGATGCAATTTTATACATATTTTGCATATATTTTTATTATGCACCTTTTTGCGATCGTCAACAATTATTTCATTTACTTTTCGCTTCCTCAAGAAAAAAAGCCAACAAAAAGTGCGTGCAATTAAAAATTATACAAAAATATTTTGATGAGCAGAACACGAGAAATTTACATACGAAATCCGCTAATTTATTTCAAGCTCCAACAACAAAACCAATTAAAACATAAATTGCATATGCAGTAAAATATTTCAAAATATTAGCAACCAAAACAAAGGAAACAAATTCAATTGAATCGTTAAAAAAAAAATAAATAAATAAAAAAATATCAGCGACAGCTGATTCTGTTGCTGGCGCCACCTAGCGCACAGTAGCAACAACAATAGCGTGCCGCTGCTGTAAGGTGTGGAGTCAATGTTGCTGAGAATGTAAAGCATTTTGAGCTGAATTTAACTTTCAATGGCTGTGCATACTTAGCTTAATTTTAATACTTAATCAAACATAACATATATCAAAATGTCTGCTGTTAAACGTTGGCTCTATCGCCACACCCACTCAAACACCTCGAGCAGCGGCCCGCCGCCCACCTCGCCCACAACTAAAACGCAGCGCGGTCGCAGCCACTCGCTGGATGTGCAGACGCTGCAAAGTCATGGAATGCGTAACATGTTAGCGAATGCACATGTAAGAAAATAATTTAAAAATAATATTTTTATGAATAATTATGAAACTGGTGCGTTAGGCTCATTCAAAACCAAATCACAGCGTACGGGTTAACTGTAACAGCGTGCTGTTAGATACGCTATGGTTTGTGCCTACGCTAATTGATGAATGTTAAATAAAACTAACAGAGCGCGCGTAGTTTAAACAGCGATTTAAATTTATATTTATATTTTTAATTGTAATGTATATTTTATTAAGATACAATTATTTTTTTTTTTGCAGCGTGTTGCGGCGCATCAACAACAGTTGGCTGTGCAAAGTGAGTACAACAAATTATCCCTCATTAATTATGTTAATTTTATGCACGTTAACAGCAAGTACCAGGTATATATTAAATAAACATTTACTTTACAGCAACTGTTAGCAATTTCATTAATTAATTCAGTTTGCGTTTCGAATTAAAGCACAACTTATGTTCATCATAAATAAAACAGCAAACCAAATTAACCTTGGCTTTGAAAATAAAAAATTGAAAAAACAAAAACATAAAATAAACAGCGTCAACTAAAACAAACAAACAACGAAAATGCGAAAAAAAAACTTAACGTTGTGTAAAGCCTGAACTTTTATTAGCAGTCGTCGAAGGAACTGGAGATCACAGGTGTGTGAGGGGCAAACGCTGCTTAACAGCGTTAAACAGTTTTTATGTTCTGGTTGTTTGCCATGCATTTTACATATGTAAATGCGAAGGGGTTTAAATAATTGAGTTCATGTTGTTTGTTTTCAAGTATGTGCCGTGGTGAATTAAATATAGTGGTGAAATATATAGAGCAAGAAGAGCACATTTAAGGAACTGTGTTGTGAAGGAGAAAAAGTACCCAAGAAGCAATGTATTATTTGTGTTAATTTGTATCTATTATGCTTTGCTTGTTAACATTGTTCAATACAAAAAAAAAAAAACACATAGATTTGTACCATAACAACTGTATAAATATGGATTATGCAACGACTGGTCATAACCGTAAACAGCGCCAAGAGTCACAAGCAGCACGTCAACAACAACAAGCAAAAACTAAATAATTTAATGAATTAAAAACACTCAAAAACGTTTGTGAATAACAAAAGCCGTTGGATTACGGGAGGGGTGAAGGGAGACAGAAACTAAATTCTTATGTGCGCTTAATGCGAATATGCCATGTAAAAGATCAGCATAGAAATTTGAGCGAAGCTCAAACATACACACACACACACACAAAGTGGCAGCACCATGAAAACAAGAGCGCCACGCACACACGCAGTGAGAGCGAGCGGCTGAGACTCGAAACTAACTGTTGCTGCATTTTAGTCGCCTGTGTGTTTACCCTTTGTTTGACCTTGAAAGCTTTTTTTCTGAAGCCTTGACTTGTGTGCACGTACAGGCTGCATATGTTGTTGCTTCTGCTGCTTCTTTTTTTGTTGTTGCTGCTTGCACTTTCAATGTCAGGGTACAATAACAACAACTTTGCACATGACACCTGGTGCGTGCAGGCTCTTACTCTCACTATCGCACTTACCCTATTGCCTCTGCTGCTGCAACAACTGGTCCTTTGTTGTTATTGTTTGCTCTCTTACATTTTACTTTTTGGGCATTTGCCTTTATTTTTGCACACATTAAGTTATTTTTCGTCGCCGGCTTCGTATCAAGAGTTTAGCCATGACGTAATCGTGAATCATGTCACAGCGTGGGAGAGAGATGGCAAGAGACATGCCAGCAAGAGGCGCGTCAAATATATTACATTGAGGCATGAAGGCATATGTGCTTATGTATTTGTGGTGTACATGTGTGCATACATATGTAAGTCGCCATCCCATGTTGTTGACTTAAAAAGTACTGGCAAAAAATGCTGCGCATGCCGCGACAATTAACCGGCATTGATTTTGAAGGCAACCAGGCGATGTATGTGTATTTGTGTGTGTAGGTGTGAGCTGTTGTTGTCTGGTTTCTATTGTCACAAGCCATTCATAAGCGAAAGTCTGTTAAGCCGCCTACACACAAAAAATAAATAAAAAACAACACACACAAACACACGTACAACAATACAAACTCTGTTAAACTAGAACAGTGGGAGAGCAGAGTTATAGCTGAGAGCGCGTGAGAGCAGCGCCAGAGCATACATAGATAATGTTAAGGGCGCTTTTTGTTTTTTTGGTCACCCACCACCTAGAGACGGCTGCTGCCTACGTGACGCAGCGCACACATATAAGAACCACATTAGAATCGCACAATTGTAAACAAAATGTTCAGTAAATGCTAAACACCAATTGCGCGATGTAAACAACAAAAGAACTCGAACACACAAAAATAATAATAAAGAAACGAAGCGATGATAGAGCAGCTAATTTTGAAGAAATTCTTTGTGCATTTGAAATAAGCACACATAAATCTTACCAGACCCGCTACAAATGTTGCCTTGCTGTAATGTGTTAACAGAAAAATGCGAGCATGTTACGTAGCACTGTTAATAAACAGCAAAGGTCGTTTGGGTTTGTAACAGCCCTGAAGCATAATTTGGCTAAAATACTGTTTTAGGCAGTTGATAATATAGCGCTGTTAGTTAACAGCGAAGGTCGTTCAGGTTCATAAGAGCGCCAAGGCTAATTTAGATAAATTAATAGCCTGAACATTCACTTAACAGCGAACCACGCCTACTTTGGCTAACAGTGCGTTTACTACTACTGCTGCCTACAGACCGCATGTCGTCTCTTTTGGCTTTCTAAGTGCGCTTTGCTCGCTTGGTATTTTGTTGTGCTCACCTTTTTCTGATGTTACATATATAAACCACACGTACACACACACTTGCACACTAAAAAAAAAACGACAGCACATGCTTCGCCGGTTTGGCACACAGATACATATGTTCACTTGCACATACTCTATATACCATATCGTATCTGTGTATGTATGCGTGTGTGTGTGTGTGTGTGTGTGTGTGTGTGTGTGCGTGTGTCGGCAGCGGTTTAGCCTGGCCACATGGCGACGTCGCCGCCGCCTTTCAGTTCAATTTTAATCGCCGGCCGCATTGGACGTGTCTACGGCGCCACGTGATCTGTTGACGTTAATGAATTTCATTTCAAATGTCGAGAAAATCTTAAAGCAAAATTGTTTAAATTCATTAGTGAAGAATTTTAAATGTCTACATAGTTTTGCGCGTCATTCATTAATAACTAGCCGCAAAATAATATAATCAATAACTTTTTGAATTATAATCAAAAAACAAAGAAAACATTAAATGTTCAAACTGGATTTTCTGAAGCGGTTTTCGAACAACAAATATTTTGTTTCCACTTGCGGACTATAAATATGCATAAGCGAGCATTTTGAACTGCCATTTTATTGTTAATAAACAATGCTAAATAAACTGAAAAAAAGTGAAAAATATATGTGTATATTAAAAATACATTGCGTGAAGTGAAAAGTCCATTTAAAAATTATATATATATATATATATATATATATATATATATATATATATATGAATACAAATATCGTGGAAAGTTTGTGCATAAAGTGGGGAAAAATCATAATAATAAAAATCAAATGTGCACTTGAAATAAAAAAAGAAGCAAAAAACGAAAAACAATAAACAACTCGATAAGCGGCTTTAACTAATCAACAAAAATTATAAATAGGCTTTGTGCAATTAAAGTCAAAAATTAACAAAATGTAATTATACTTGTTTTCAACTTTTGCGCACAAAATATAGCATGGAAAAACGTCACAGTTGTGATAAAAAAAATAAATGATATAACATAAAAAAGCGACAAATATTAAATTTGCATTTCATCAAATGAAATTTTAATTATTATCAAATCATCAAGGTTTTCTCAAATATTTCTTTTTTTTTAATAATAATACAAAGTTCACGCAAATTGAATTTGCCTTTCATCACATGCCGGCAAAAGTCTCTACTTTTTTTTTACATAAGACTTCCACTTGTTTTCTTGTTGTTGTTTTTGTTTGCATAAGCAGAAAAAAGAAAAAATAAGAAGAAGAAAAGCACAACAAAAAGTCATATTCGAGCTAAAGAGATTTGATTTATGGCAGCATGCGCCGAATTTGCGGCGTTTTCGTGACGCAAAAGCCGCAGCGAAAATGTTGATTTCGCCGCGTTTTAGCTGCGAAAGCGAAAAACATCGTAGAAATACTTATTATAAATATTCTGGAACACGGTAGCGGCAAGTGTAGGATCGCCCGGTGTTAGCGTCTGCTCTTAGTTTATTTATAGCCGCCATCTAAAAGTGAATCAAGAAACAGATAAAAAACAAACCATTTTCAATTAGCAGAGAGAACCAAACAGAATATCATTAAAAAAGCAAAAGTTCTTCTTTTTTTTTATTCAAGAAATGTGTCTATTAAATCAAGTTGAATTGATTTACTGCGATGATATCGTAAAATTTTACTTTAACTATATATGCTTAGCAATTCTGAGTGCCATTCGGTTTTATATCCAAAAAGATGAGAACGCATTTCAATTTAATACCCGCTTACATTATCCCAAATGAAGTGCTAAGGCTTAAAGGTTGTGTTCGGTAGATATTCTCATTCCCAAACTCACAAAAAATTACTGTTATAATGTCCTTAAAAATGTCAGAAATCTATTTAAAAACTATGAAAAACTCTTGATATTTGAGTAAGGCTCTGAAACTGTAACCCTGATGAAATAACTTTTAAAAGCGACTAGAAAAATATTAATTAATTAATATTCACAACTTGAGCGAAGTTTTTCGGCTCAGTTGAAAGCGAGTGAGCACTTATTTGAGTACTCGAAGCATTTTATAGCTCAACAAGTCTGTATATACATTCGTTTAGGAAAGAAGAAAAGCCTTTTCCTATTGGAACTGAGCTCGATAAGGCAACCATGCCCGACTATTGCAATGTATTTGCAATCTGTAATAAGCGGGAACCTTCTGATAAGAAATCCGCTTCAAATGCAGCTGTTCGCATAATCTAGTACAAGCCTGTATCTCTCCCAAGGGGCTTAGCGATAACCCCTCCCCCCGCTGTTCACATCATCTATATATAGTTACTAAATATAAACCATCCCCCGTAATACTGTTGGGCTTTACATAATATACAGTATTACAGATCTGTTTCAGAAGCACTAAAAAAACTGCGTGCCACTTGAAATGCGCTTGGAATAGGTCAGTTTCTAGTACACAACATCATAAATCGGCGAATTTATAAACAAAATAGGAGATTAGAGCGCTGAAAACAAATGATTTCACTTTTTATGGGTTTGTTTTTCAACGAGAGCATACATTTAAGAGCTCTATTTGAAT